AACATATCATTAAAATAGCTTGAAAGAGTAGCATTTTCCCATCCCTTACAAATGAATGAGACAGAACTCTACTTACAGGAAAATTTAGCATCAGCATTAACTTGTTTGGTAGAAGTATGTTTTTGAGAGGAATAATCCTACTAATAACTGCATGAACACGATACTTTTATTGTGCTGCAACATTACATTATCATGACTCTACGCATTTATAAATTTTAGAATCATTATGCAAATCTCATTTCCATGTTTTAAAAATATTCTAGAAACACATGAACATGGCCATTCTGTGTCCTAGTTATGTTCCTTCAAGTTATTTCTGACATAAGGCAAACTTATCACAAAATTTTCTTGGCAGAATATGTTCGGAACAGGATTAGTCCTTAACTTCCTCAGTGACTGAGAAAACATGATGTGCCCAAGGTCATCCAGTGGGTTTTCATAATTGAGCCCAGGTCTCCCAGTGTCCTGGTCCAATACTCAATCAACTATCCACTTCATCACATGGGCAAACTTACCTGTTGTAGGATGTTTTCAGCACAGTTCAGGGATGAAGTCCACTGGATCCCATCAAATGACGCACAGCTACTTCCAGTGGGGCTCCATCCCTGAACTGTGCCGAAAGCGTCTTACGACAGAGCAATGATGACAGTGGGGCGATGCTGGGCAGCAACACTTTCTCCCGTTTGATGGGGAAGGCAGCACTGTGAGCAGTGTAGGGTGTGGGATGGATTCCCCACTGCCCCGCAGATCCCCTGCAACGTCTGGTGAATCCCTCCACTGTTGCCCGTGTTAGGACACCTAATGTGATGAGGTTCATAATCATGCAGGTTCACTAGGTATCACATAGACAACTCTGACCTTAGCTATACTCACAGTAAATATACTCTGTCTTCTTCTAATATGTTACAAGAAAGAGATACATAAGCTTTGGAGTGTGGGGTGTATGAGTGGATGGTCCTTATATGTGACATTTTATCAAACCATGTAGATTATTTTAGAATTAACAGCTTCCATTTTTTAGCAACAGGGCCTTAAATAGACAAATACTTCAGTGATGTGTGCTCACAGCACGCAATATAAATGGGAAATCAAGGGACTAAAAGTCTCCTTCAGTCACAAAAGGGAATAAGGATATATTTAACTCTCTCCAGTAATTGACATGCAATAAGAGGTTCCCAGGGAGGCTCCACAATTCAGAGCTAAAATATATGCAGCAGTTTCCAGATTGGAAGATCAAGTTAAGAGGATCAGGCATCAAATGCTGAACAGGAGATTTCAACCCACAGCTCTTAGTAGAGTAGTTGAATTCCAAACCATTTTTATTCACTACTAGCCATCCCTTGCCATGCATTGCTGTGGCCCAGTCTGTGTATATGTGTTGTGTTGTGTGTGTGTATGTGTGTATATATTTGTGTATATGTGTATATATGTGGTTTTGCGCATGCATTGTAATGAATTTTTTAGTTTTGGCTTTTAAAGTCTCCTCCATTGTGTTTTCCAGTGATTTTATGAGTGATGGTCACTTGTTGGCCTGATAGGTGTATTGTGTCCAAATTTGGTGTCAATTAGTCCAGTGGTTTTTGAGTTATGTTGATCCCACAAATGAACATTACATTTTTATTTATATAGATTACATATTAATTATTCATATCCAGCCAATACCATAAAAGTTCTAGGTGGCTTACAAAAATCAATTTAAACAATATAAAAGGTAAGAAATAAAAATCGAAATATTTAAAAATATTACTGAAATGTCATACTTTTAAATGTGAATAATTCAGAAGTTAAAACAGTCTGTATCCAGACAGATTTGAGTAAAACCAATCAGGCTGTGTAGACTTTAATAAAATGCATGGTTTAATTAGACATCTGATTGAAATCAATGTTGGTCCCAACAGAGCCACAGAGGGAAGAAAATCCAACAGATGAGATGCTACAATTGAGAAAAACCCCTCTCACATTCCCATCTGACGTTATGCTCTCTCTGGTGGGAAGCCCCACTCCAACAAAACTCAGACCATAGACAGACATATGTAGGCCAAGGCCCTCCTTCAAGTATTTTTCATTCCTTTAAAAAGAATGTGATATGGTTTCTATAAGCTGTTCCAGACAGTAATCTAGCTGCTGTATTTTGCATCAGCTACAGCTTTCTAATTGTTTTATGGGCAGTCCCAAGCAGAGAGGACTGCAATAATTTTGTGATGAGGTTACCAGTGCATGAACCACTGTGGCCAGGTTATCCCTGTTTTTTTGTTGCAAGTGAATCTGTTTTTAGTTGCAAGCAAAGAGAAGGGAATTAAATGTTACAATCTAGGCCTAATTTTATTACTTTACTTTTCACACCAACCAACATGCTAAAATTTCACTTCTAGGAACATGACAATAAGAACAATTACTATTTCTCACGCCAGGCAGTTTCCATCAAATCTGCCAAATGGAGCCGCAGCCAAACCGCCACTACTATATCTCCAAATCCACTTTCATGGCAAAAGCACTCTGCTTTTCTAGTGGTAATACTTACAATATATTACCTTGAATCGGACAACATGAACTAATAGGAAAAATAGTCTATTCCATGAAAACTATTCTGTCATTTCAAATAAGCTTGGAGAGAATTTTAAGCTCAAATGATATATTAATTCAGAAATTTACTATACTCATAGTGGCTCTGAAATTAAAATGCATACATTATAGATAAAAATACAATTACATGTAACTATTGAAAATACACATTACATGCAATAAAAAGCAATTAAATAATATAATTAAAAACAATGGCACACTTTATTAAAAGCAGTTTCCTAAAGAACACTGGTTTTCATATAAAAAAGCAAATTCAAGGTTTGCTTTTTGGATTTATTGGTGGATGCGATATTTCATGCTGTTGATGGTTGAATTTGTGAATACAGAACTTGTGGATAAGGAAGGCCAACTGTACTACCTTCACCTGTGCAAATGAACTCTTGGACTCCTGAAAATATAAGCATCCAGGCTCAGTGGCGAATCCAAAAGAACGCTCAAGCTGTGAAGGTGCATCAACAAGGAGAGTTTAAGTCAATCCTATACCCTGATCTACCTCTAAGGTCCCATGTACAGTGCCATATAATCCAGTTTCAAAATGCAGATTAACTTCATTGAACTGGATTATATGGCAGTGTAGGTTCATATAGTCCAGTTCCATGCAGTTCAATCTGCATTATATATCAGCGTAAATGGGGCCTCAGATGACCAGGAAGCATCTCAAGCAACATGCAGGCCCATGGCTAAGGCATCTCTTTTCCTCTCTTTTATGACTCAACATTGTTCCCTTTAAGAGCCCATGAGTTCAAAACCTGGTATAGTGTGACTTTTGGATTGGTCTGATAGCTATCATAGGGGTAAAGGTTTTCCCCTGACATTAAGTCCAGTTGTGTCTGACTCTGGGGGATGGTGTTTCTAAGCCGAAGTCCGTAGACGCCTCCAAGGTCATGTGACTGACATGAAGGCATCGAGAGCCGTTACCTTCCTGCCAGAGTGGTACCTACTGATATACTCACATTTGCATGTTTTTGAACTGCTAGGTTGGCAGAAGTTGGTGCTGACAGTGGGAGCTCATGCTGCCCAACGGATTTGAACCTGTGACCTTTCAACAAGTTCAGCAGCTCAGTGGTTTAACCCACTGTGCCACCATGGATCAATACCTATCATAGTGATGTACATTTTGGAATTTCTTACATTATGTGACAAAACAGAAGGCGCATTTCTCCATATGCTAAAAGAATAAAACTTCTTATAGTACAGTAACTGGCTCTGGTTGATGGAAGCTGGAAACCAGTAAGGTTCATAGGTTCCCCACCTCTGCTGTTGGGGTTGCATTAATCTTACGGGACACAGAGGAGTGAACCAAGAGGAAGTAATTAAATAACAGTTGAGCTCCTAGCAGAGACCAAATCTGAATCAGGGACTTCTTGGATCAGGATACAAACTCTTAGCCATAAGGCTGTACTAGTTTTGGAGCAGGGCAGCAGCAACTGTTTAAAACAATTTCTAGAAAAAGTACAGTAAAGGTAACCATCATTTTACTATAATTACGGTCAGATATTTAGTCTCCTAGAATACCGAACTGTAAATTTACAAGTAAAATTGTCAGCAATCAAAGGTCTTCTTGAAATTGTTCCTAGCATGATGCAGTGGTTTTAGTGCTGAACTAGGATTCTGGACACTAAGGTTTAAATCCATGCTCAGCAATGGGAGTTCATTCTGCTTCAGAGGAAGGTCAATTAACACATCTTGCTAGGAAAACTCCATGAGCGGTTTGTTTAGGGCCACCACAATTTGGAAATGATTTGAAAGAACACACAGTGACAGTGGTAGTTGTAGTCCAAATATGTACTGTAAATTTCCCAGGCTATCCTATTTGGGGAGCCAATTCATAAAATTGCATTGGACAGACTGCATCAGATCTAGTTTCTTAGATATGTTTATCATCATTTTCTGTGGGCAAGCAGATGGAGACTGATATATGACCTATGTTCAGAATCTCAAAATCTAGACCTGTTAGAGGAAAACCGGTGTCATTTTTGGAACCAAAAAGTCAAATATACTCAGAAATAGGTCTAATATTTGAGGCACCAAAATGTGTGTTGACCAATGTAATGGGAATAACTACCAATCTTTTTTCAAAAAAAGCTCAGCCAAGCACATAATGTCAGATCATTTTTAGACACCAACCTCTGAAGCCAACCATCCAGGCAGAAATAGTCCTATCATAAACCAGTACCAACATCCCAGCTTCAGGTAGCCATCTCTGAAGCACAACCATCATCAAAAGTATCAAAAGCTGACAAGAAACTCCTATTTCTCTCTTAACAAACAGGGAGTGATCAGGAAAGTTTCCCCTTGAAATTGAACCGGAAATCTACTTTAGCTTATTAACTACTACCAATGGGAAGATCTTGTCCATGAAAGGAACATTTGCCACTCAAGACTGAAAACAAAGCAGGGCCTAGAAAAAATCCTACCTGCAAGTCGAAGAACTTGCTGTACCGTCGATAGATGGCTTCTGTAGAGCCATTGGACCAGGTAACCTTGATAATATATACCTAGAACAGAAGAAAAACAAGTCAGATCACATCAAATTGCACCTACAACATACCCCCAAATTCCAAGTTGTTTGTTGTGCGCCTTCAATTCATTTCCAACTTAACGCCGTTGTATCATGGGTTTTACCTGGCATCAGTTGTTCAAAAGCAGTTTGCCATTACCATTATTTAAGACTGAGAGAATGTGAAATCACACAATGGGTTTCCATGGCCAAGTGCAAATTTGAACCCTGGTCTCTCAAAGTTGTAGTCCTACATCCAAACCTCTACTCCACTGCTCTAAAATGGTCTGCTTGTAAAAATGATTAGTATATTATCCCACAAGATGTCACAGTGTGAAGGCAGGTCATGCCCATCTCATGTTGCCCCAGCTACATGATTATGACATATGTTATATGTCATATATGATGATACAATCAAAGGACAATACACCTTGACCTCAGTCTGTATGGGATCTTGTTATATCAGTGTCCTGTAGTCATGGTGCCCAAATAGTCACTGTTGTGATATATAATAAACACATTCTTCCTATTTTATGCATGCTACTCAATGCATAAAATAATGTCAAAGTTAACAAAAACAGGAGAATAAAAATGCAAAAAGTGGAAAATACACCCAAGATAGATAGATAGATAGATAGATAGATAGATAGATAGATAGATAGATAGATAGATTTGCTGTGTAAGATGTAGACAGAGCTCTATAGCCAAAATTGTTATAGATATTAAAACTGATTGCCACTGATTTGTCAAAGTTGGATAATTTAATTCTCTGATAGAGGAAGTTTAAACTGCAATTCAAAATTGAAAAAGGTAGAAATTAATTGTCAGTCCACATCTTCCATAAAAATTATTCCTTACCAATTTTAAAAAACTCTGGATATCCCATGAAGTCAATTCAGCATGAGCATATCGGGTCACAATTGTCTTCTCCTTCCTCAAAGAGCCCCCCCCCTCCCACCCACCCACACACCCCTTATGATATGCCCTCGTGGCACCGCATTAACTTCCATCCCAAAGCTAAAATTAAAGCCACTGCTAAGAAATCCATGACATTTTAAAAGGCTCATTTTAAATAGTTTGGGGAGATGTTGTTTTTGAGACAATATTTATAACTAGCATTTGATTGCCTCTATATCATAGTATTTATATATCCAGCAATGGGAAAAGACACAGCACATTCAATTTGTTGACTTTTGCATTTGGCTTCTGCTCCCTTCTTGAGTACAGGTTTAGCACTGTCACACTATGATTCCAAGGGGCTGAGGAAAATAATGACACTGAGTGGACTCTACCTTTCTGTACTGGAAAGAAAGGGGTGAAAAATAACATCAGGAGCATGTCCCTTGGGAAAGTTTGTTAGTTAGTTCCCACCCACTTAGACAATCTGCTGGTCTGGGAAAACTAGAGATCAGAGGCTGCTAGTCTTGGCAGTTAGCCGTGCCCTGCAATGGTCATATCGCCTCCTGGGGTTTTGCTGTCTGCTTCCCTAGAGTTTGCTCACCTCTCAGGAAATATTGTGTACATATTATCTAAGATTTCTGTTATAACTCAATGCTTGCAATTTAGAGATGGGTAAGTTTACATGATACGGTGTACCCCCAGTGGTGTAGTGGGTTAAACCCTTGTGCCGACAGGTCATAGGTTCGAATCCAGGGAGAGCGCGGATGAGCTCCCTCTGTCGACTCCAGCTCCCCATGCGGAGACACGAGAGAAGCCTCCCACAAGGATGGTAAAACATCAAAACATCAAGGCGTTCCCTGGGCAACATCCTTTCAGACAGACAATTCTCTCACACCAAAGTGACTTACATTTCTTAAGTCACTTCTGACACACACACAAAAAATCTTTGAGTAATGAAAAAAAATATTTAGATGAGAGAGCACTGCAGACTATTAAGTCTTTAAAATCTATTCCAAAGATAGAAACAGAACATAAGAAGAAACATAACAGAGTCTCCTGTAAGATGGAAACTGGACAGCATACCCACACAATACTACACAGATCAGCTTCTTGTTTTACTTAATTTTTATTCTACTTTTCTTCCTGAGAGTTCACAACTACAGAGTCTTTCTCTTCTAATTTCCAATTTATATGCATAAACTTCTCCCTCAGTACATAGACAGTGAAGCACTAAACATTGTTGTTGAAAACATGGATGTATTTGCAAGAGAATTTGGTAGACAGCAGCAACAACTTGGCATTCATATCCTTTGTGGAGCAGCTTTTATGGATACAACTCAGGAAAGTCTTTAAAAAGGGCACACAGAGGACCACTGAGGTTGGGCCAGTCTTACAGTGTTTCCTAAATCACAAACCCTTGGTGGCAAGAGTTATTCTCCAAGTCATCAGAGTGTGTCAACTGCAGTCTTTCCTTGTCCAATCTCTCTGCACAGCTGACATCACTGAGACTCAAAGCATCATGAGAACTGTGAACTCCAAGTTCGCTTACATGTTCCTCTAAGGCCTCTTCCACACAGTTGAATAACATCCCACATTTTCTGCTTTGAACTGGAATATATGGCATTTAAATTCTCAATAGGAGGTTCCATTAGAGAGAACATACAATATGTTTTACAGAAGCTATATAACCTGAGTTACTAGCTAAAATGGACAAAACTCATAGAGCGGTTTGCTAGAGCTGTAAAAAACAGAAAGGTACTTTTTCTCCATGTCTGGAGGTCATGTCTGATAGTATCAAAATTTTGGAAAGGTGTAGTGATGGAAACAAAGAACATCCTCAACAATAAGGTCAAGAAAAGCCCAGCAATGTGCTTTCTAGATCTATTTAGAGAAGGTATAAATTAGGAAGATAAAGAAATATGCCAATACAGCTTTGTTGCAGCAAGAATTGTTACAGCTAAATCATGGAAGGGAGAAAAAGAACTACTCAAGAGTGACTGGAGAAAAAAATAATAGACAAAATGGTCAAGCTCTCTAATGGATTTCAAGGTAAAAAGTAATGATGAGCATGTAAACAAATGGCAGATGACCTTCACATATCTTGAAAAGAAGACAAAAGTTGACTTTACGAAGGCTGCAAGGCTAACTATTTAAGTAACTTATATTGATAGGTATTACAGGGTATAGGTATCATAATGAGCAGGGATGGAAGTCCAAGGTGGTGGATTCACGGGTGTGGGAATGGAGGGACTGTATTCTCTAGTGTTACTGTCTCTGTATATTGTGTGATCTGTTTACAAATGTATATCACTGTTTTTTCTTCTTCTTTTTTTACTAATTTTAAAAGGTGTGTCTGGATATGTGTGTGCACACATCTCCTACATTTTTCAAATGGTTATTCTCAGTTATAGTCAAAGGGACTCCTTTGTGACAGTTCTTTCTGCTGCTGTTGCAACTTCACATTTCACACCTCTCCTGCTATAATCAGGTCTCTCCCTACAATGTGCTCTTCTCCTATTCTCTAGCAATTCTATGCAACATCCCAAGAATCCTTCTCTCTTTACCCATGTGCAAACATGAAACAAGTACTGCTAATTCCATGCTAATCTGTAACTTGGCAGCAACAATGTTTATATATACACAAATGCATGTTCATATAGAAACACTGGAAATGGGAATGCATCAAATCCCCAAGTGAAAGGAAATGAACTTTTCAGAACAATTAGAGCTTTGCCTCTGGGCCAACTTGCACCTGAGCAAGGCGTCTGTTTGTAGAACTGGAGCAGTGAGTTGTAATAATCATTTTCACCAAGGAAAAAAATGAATTTCCTTTTCCTCTGCTTTTTAATAATAATAACTGTCTTTTTGTTTTCCTTAGCTTCTCTGTTAACTGCTGCACCCTGCCCCATAAATACTTTCCAAATGTCTCTTGAGAATATATGCTCAAAATGAAGACAGCATAAAGAATGAAAAGCAGCAACAAAGAGATACAGGCCTTTTCAGTCTCAGTGAAAGTCTTATTCTCCTCACACACACATCTCCCACTCCCTTTCTCTGTCTCTCTTTCTAGGCTGGCTGCCAGAAGTGATCCATTACTGAGATGCTATAGAATGCTTAGCAAGCCAGAACTTCTGGGGGCCAAAGACCAAATGATGTCATGCTGGCTGCTTTGCGGCAAGCCCTTTTGGTGAACCAAATGCATCTTGGGAGTCCTCTAAAGGAAATGGAACACTTTATTAGCCAGGGATGGCCTCTGCATTCTTGATCATGCTGCAGAAGAGCACTGTGTGTCTGAGTTTCAAATTTGGGAGAGGGAGAGGATTAAGGAAAAGAAAACTCGGAAGGCGGGGGGGGGGGGGGTCCAAGAATATCAGTAGTACTGATACAGTGATCATGAAGTCTCATGCATACTGAAAGCTCACATCGACTGGTTCATTATTTTGATATTTCACATGCATGATGGGGTACTAGAACCCAATGAGACATCCTATATGCAGTGACAAGCAATGCAAGACAACTTTGGTGCATATACAACATCACAAACTGTATTACCATACATACAAAAGATGACTCTCCAACTTATATGAATCAGAAATTGATATCCCCAGACCGAGCCATTTGCAACATTATGTAGGTAGTAGGCACACAGAAAACTGGGCGACTTGGAAGGCGCTGAACAGACTGCATTCTGGCACCACAAGATGCAGAGCCAATCTTAAGAAATGGGGCTACAAAGTGGAATCCACGACATGCAAGTGTGGAGAAGAGCAAACCACTGACCACCTACTGCAATGCAACCTGAGCCCTGCCACATGCACAATGGAGGACCTTCTTGCAGCAACACCAGAGGCACTCCAAGTGGCCAGATACTGGTCAAAGGACATTTAATCAACTACCAAGCTTGCAAACTTTGCATTTTGTCTGTTTGTTTGTTTGTTTTGTTAAAAATATAATACAAATGTCTGGTAGCTCCTGACACGATAAATAAAATAAATAAACATTATGTAAAGGAAAGGTAGATCCATGACCAATTCTTTCATACAGACAGTTACAACTGAATCATACTTTTGAACAGAGATGATAGAACGACATCTGCCA